ATATATATATATTATACTAACCTAATCTTTATACAGCTATTTAAATATATATATATATATTATACTAACCTAATCTTTATACAGCTATTTAAATATATATATATATATTATACTAACCTAATCTTTATACAGCTATTTAAATATATATATATATATTATACTAACCTAATCTTTATACAACTATTTAAATATATATATATATATTATACTAACCTAATCTTTATACAGCTATTTATATATATATATATATATTATACTCACGTAATCTTCATGCAGCTATTTAAATATATTTATATATTACACTAACCTAATCTTCATGCAGCTATTTAGATATATATATATTATACTAACCTAATCTTCATGCAGATATTTAAATATATTTATATATTATACTAACCTAATCTTCATGCAGCTATTTAAATATATTTATATATTATACTAACCTAATCTTTATACAGCTATTTAAATATATTTATATATTATACTAACCTAATATTCATACAGCTATTTAAATACATTTCTAATTCTGTTCCTAAGCAAGAAGCTCATTAAAACTAAGTCATTGATTTTCTAGTTTACAAATTATTTAACCAGTCCTCTTGTCTATTTCAAAACAGGAACATTACATAATAATTATATTACTTACTGGCATACTTCTTGTTGTATAGCCTGTTGTAAATGTTTTGTGTTAATTATAGCCCTAATTTTCCCAGCACTATTTGAAGCCCAGTATGGAGTGACAATCTCTACCGTAGACTCACAGGCGTCAACTCTAAAGAAAATAGTCGTTGGTAAGTTTTCAGGAATATGAGTTAAAAAATATCATGAGCTTATTAAAGCGAGAGAATTAAAAATCAATAAAACATCTGAAATGTGTTAAAGTGGCTATATATATATATATATATATTTCATCAAAATTCGGGATAACTAAAACTTATCTTACTATAATGAACGTAGCGTGTATGTCAATACCTATGTATGTAACCAAAACTCCTGCTCCATCTGCTGAATGGGACCTCAAATAAAAATCGATAAAAAATTAACACTTTGGGTATTAAAGATTCAGACAATTAGAAAAAATAACTGTGGTATGTGCAACAACCATTTCTTTATCATATAACACAATTAAAAAAATAATAATATCCTCACAACAAGAATACGGATTTCACTAGGACTGTACGTGAGGGTTTGATTATATCTTTATTTGGAGCAATTTTTAAATGTAGTACTGAAAAACTGGAGTTCTTAAAAAACTATTATTTTTTCAATAAACGGTCCCACTTTTAATATATAAAACCATTACAGTTTATATCAGTAACATTTATGACAATTTTAAGTTCGGTACATTGGATCATTTTTATGCAATGAGTTGCGTATGACTAAAGAGAACAATCCGGATACTTTTCCCCGTGCAGTACTTCCTAGAAAAATATCGTTTTTAGAAAATGTCCACTTTTTTCTAAATTTTTTCAATGAGGTATGGATACGACAATTAGACAAACAATCACGCGTAGGGCGGCGTTTCTGCTAGTATGTAAAATCTCCAATAATGAGAAATGTTAGATATCACTGTGACGACATTACATGATTTGAGATTCATTTTAATGTGTTATGAAACACAAAAAATCAAAAAACGTAAAAAAAAGCCAATAAAGGGTAGAGTTAAAATTATAACGTCTTAGTTTCAATAAAGTGTTGCTACGACAGATATATAGCATAATGTGTAATTTTGGTTCGAGGATTTTACTAACGAAAAAGTAAAAACGCTTCATAATTGAATTTTCTCTAATCGGGATGAGTTTCTCCTAAGACACTACTCTAAAACTGGGTATTGTCCCAGAAAATTGGTGTCATTTCCTTACGTATATTATGTATATCACAATACAGTAATAGTTTGTGTAAGACTAATAAGAAGAAATAAAGAGAGGCGGTCTCTGATGGTTGCTTACGTTATTTTAAAACTCTCAAATCGAAATTCTTTCTTCTTCAAAACAATAAGTATTAACCAGAGAGTTTACTGTCGAAATATATCTAATATGTACAGACTGCATTTGTCCATTAAACAAGTATATATATATATAGTTACGTCTCCGTTTGTTAATTAACTTTCCGTAA